ACAGGGGTGAGAGACCCTGCTGGGCCTTCTGACGTGACTGGTCAGTGTGACAGTGGCCTGGGTTAGGGTGGACATTGCAGCCGGCCCCCAGGAAGAGGTCCAGGACAGAGGAGGAGGAGATGGCTGGTGTCCACGTCTGGCCACTGGGGACAGGAGCGCTGGGCGCGGACAGCTGAGTGGGTTACCCTCCACGGTGCCTCTAGCCTTATAGCTCTAGTCAGAAAGACTCCTGTGGCCTGTGTCACACGTCCAGGAGCTGTCCTTTTCTGACTCCAGTGGCCAGCCACAGAGCTCCTGACCATAGGTGTCCAGCCCCCTCCCGGCCTCTCATGGAAGCAGAGCTCCCCTGCCCTCGCTGGAGGGCGCCTTAGGTCATCTTGCCTGGTGCCCACAGCCTTCTGCCAGTCCTGACACCCTCAGTTCTCCAACATCACACTGTCACACCAAGGTCACCTGTCACCTGGTCCTTGTCATTTTCCCTGCACTGGCCTCTCACTCCACCCAGCACCAGGGAGCCAGGCCCAGAGCCACCGCTGCCCGTTGTTGGTCGACGCCCAGGGGCAGGGGGCTTAGACCTAGAGGTACTCTGTGGCCTCCGAGGTCCCAGCACTGGCCCTGGCCAGGCTGAGCGCTCACGTCCAGGGACTCCCTCCGTCACACTGTGGAGTGCTGCCCAGGGCCACAGAGCTCCTCCCCTGAGCTGGGGGAAGCGTCCCCTGCCAGAAGCACTCCCTGCATTGTGAGGACCAGCTGTCCTTCCCCTCAGGGCTCAGCCCCCGTCACAGGGCCTCTGTGGTGCTGCTGTGAGTGTCTGTCACAGCGCCTGTCCCTGGGGTGGTCAGCTTCACCTGTTGCTTGACAGCCTGGGGGGGAGGGTGCACTGCTGTCCCCTCGTGGCCAGCGACCCTCGTGGAAGGTTTAGTTTAGGGGTGATCAGTGCCGCAGGGTGCAGGTGGATCCTCACTGTGTGCGAACCCCCAGGTCCACCTAGTCCCCTTGTGGTTGGGGTCTTGGCCGCTGCTGCCGTCCTCCTGGGCCTCTGCCTCCTCTCTTCCACCTCTGCCTCCTCCTCCTCCCCCTCTGACTCCTCCTCCTCCCCCTC